CTGTGCCCCCTGGGAAACACAGGTCTAGTAGCCCTCGTGGGTACTTGACTCACTTCAAGAACTTGGGGTGCTTCCCTCAGTTGGAAGCACAAGTAATGGTCTCCCTTAGTCAGCCAAACCAAGGGGACCCCAAGGCATAATTGAGACCCACTCCCAATAAGTCTCCCACGCTAGGTACAAAGGAGAACTTTATTGGTTGCAGGGAATAGGGTTGGAATAGGGTACAGAGTTGAGTAGTATCAGAGAAATCCCATAGAGAAAACAGGGTGGCTGGGTAGCCTTTGATCATGCATCTGAGTTACTGCAAGCTAGATATCTAGTTAGATCTCAGGTAGCTTACTCACAAGCATCATCCAGAGGCAGGTGGAGATTCCCTCTGGAGGCAGGCAGTTCATTGACCATGAGTTTTTTGAGAGAGAGAGAGAGAGAGAGAGAGAGAGACAGAGAGAACAAGTTTCAGATGGTCCATCTCCCCTCTCTCTGAGTTTTCCTCATGGCTGCTGCCCCTTCCTCCTGGGCAGCCCTTAACTTATATAGCCCTTATGACCTCATTTACCTGGTCCAATGGAGCCCAGCACCTGTTGGCTGTCAACCAACCAATTTGAAATGCATCACTAGTTGCTGGTCAGACTGGCAGTCTCTAGCCCACCAGGGAGCCCAAGCTCCTCACCCACGTATGTTATGCCAGTCACGTAGGCAGAGGGAGCAGGTTCCCCCCTCCCTCAGGAACGTGTTCAGCTCAGGTTACCTAAAGAGATAGGTTAAGGTGTGTATCCTCTGCTGGGCCCATCCTAACCAAATTGTCACAGAGCAGAGTTTTGGCGGATAAACAGAGGTGGCCTTCTCCCACACTCACATCGGCTTCTTCTGTTTCCAAGACCCACCATTATCCTAGCTCCCATGTTTGCAACAGAGGAACCTCTCAGCCAACATGGCTTCATTATGACTTACTAGTTGCTTGGGTGGTTCTTCTGTTGTTTGTAGCCTTCTCTGTTATATAGAGGAGCATAACAATAAAATCACAGATGGGTGGAAGGTACTTCAGGAGGTCAGCTGTCCAATCACCAGCTCAAGATTTGGACAGGAATGATCCTGTCATAGACAAGTGTTCATGTAACCTGTTCTTAAACTTCCAAAGAAGAAGATTTCACAGTCTCTCTTGGCAATTTTGTACAGAGCTGAACCACTCTCACATGTGAGAAAGTTCTTTCTAATATCCAAACTAAACATCTCCTGCTTCAGTTTAAGACCATTATTCCTTGTCCTCTGGGGCCACAGAAAACAGTAGCTGATGGTTCTCTTTTGCAGTACCACAGTCTAGTCAGTCATTCCTCAGTTTATATTTGTGTCTGCAACTGTTCTTGTCTTAAGTGCAGGACTCTGCACTTGTCCTTATTGAATCCCACTGAATTAATTGTGAACCCTTTTTCCAGTTTAACAAGATCATTCTGAATTCTAATTCTACTTCCCAGGGTGTCTTCAACTCTACCTTACTTTGTGTCATTTACAAACTTGATAACTGTGCACTTAAATTGCATCCTCCAAGTCATTAATAAAGATATTAATACCAGATCCAGGACAGACCCCTGGGAAATCCAAGTCTATATTATCTCATTGTAAGACTTGAGAAGAATGAGGTGTGCTTTGACTGTAGTGATTGCCTGGGTTGGTTTAAGGAATTAAAGGTCCTTTGTGGGTAAAAAATACTGTCTAGTGATAGGCGCTCTCTGTTCCTCATTCTGCTTATCATGGAACCTTCTACTCTTTGTTAAGCAGCCCCTTATTTGAGATGACAAGCTGCATGCATACTATTAACTTCAACTCCCATTGGTTCCAGCTGATATGCTGATTTAGACCAAGTGAAGATGTGACCCAGTATAGAGAATAGGTGTGTGTAGGTGGACTATTTCCTCACTGAATGGGATTTTACGGACACAGGAGTCATAGTACTAAATCAAATGATTAATCTGACAAGTCCAATGTCCTGTCACATGCTATTTTGTGTCAGTGGCCAAAGCCTGATTTTCCAAAAGAAAATGAAAATGACCCTTTAAGGCACCTCATTACAATTAATGTTGGATGTTGCAAATGTATTCCTATCTCTTGTAGACAATTGTCCTACAGCCCAAAGCATGTGATTTATCCTCCTCTGAACTTCCATAACCAGAAACGCCAGAGTAATTAACTTATTCAAAGGGAGCTATTTATTTGACTCAGTGATCTGACAGGCTGTATATCTTAACTCCTGCTACACTGGACCATGTGTCCAGTAGGCCAGTGTGCCACCCCTCTCTACGTAAAATCAGTCCTATGGGCTACACACAATGCTAGCCTACTCACGACTCTTATAAGGGCAAACCATTAGATGTGCTAAATCAGTGGTTCTCCATTTTTTCCATAATGGAAACCCCTTTTCCATACCAGGGCCTGCCTCCCATCTGTCAGAGTTGAAGAACTAGGGGGCCTAGGGTATCGGTCCCCATACCTCCCCATGCTCCTAGGGCAGTCATCCACAGTTGCCACTCCCAAACCAGACCCTGATCCTATGAATCAAGTGTGCCTATCCAACTGGCATGCCAGTTTGGCATCTGTGAAACTTCCTGTTGAGAGATTTGCCCCAGCCACGATGTATACACTGATCAAACACATTTCTGAAACCAAAGTACAGTTTATTTTAGGAATAAGAGCAGGACACTTAGAGGAATTAATTCCTTTAAAGGAAGAGCCCACTCTATCCATCTCCCAACCATTTACTGTACCCCCACTTTAAGTATGCCTGACTTCTTCAGACACTGCAGTGCATTGCTTATTTGGCTCAATATGATTCCCTTTTGCTTCAGTTCATTGGATTTCATAGATAACAAGTCTTTTTTTGTCCTAGAATTGTACCTCAAGTCGTAAGTAATTTTGAGTTATTTTAAGCTTTTCTTCTTCCTTTCTGCTTGTTTTTCCATATGGCCCCCTATTAAAATAAATCATCGGATTCTCCCAATAGAAAGTTGAAGAACCATGTTGATGTAAAACATTTAAAAAGTATTACAAAAAAAATCCAGTTCTTTGATACCACCTAGTAAAATGGGAAAGGAAGGGGGAAGGTTAATATGAAGGATTAGTTGGAAATTCCTTGGAATGTCAATTCTCCCAAACTGAAAACTTCCATAGGAATGGGGCTGTTTCAATGAATTTCTTAATGCTCAATCTTTTTCTTTCAATAATTTTTAAATTTTTAAAGTCACATTTTTTCAATAATTGAAGAAAAAATTGTGGTTGCCCAGTTCAGAATGTTTTTGTTTAGAATGTAATAATTAGAGTAAACCAATAAAAACAGGCATTATGAAGAGGAATATTGAAACTAATTTTTCTTTCTTTGCTTGACTAACCAAAGATATTTTTGGTTGGCAAAAAATTGTGAGTTCATTTTATAATTATGATTTAGAATGAGAAAAATGTACAAAATACCAGTACTATTTTCCCTCCCACTCCTCAGAATGGAAAAACTTGCCCAATTCTGATTATAACCCTTGAGGATGTATAATAATGAATAATGTAGATAGAAGTGATGTTTAAGAAGTGTCCAAGTATAATGGGCTTGGACACATGTCAGAAGGGGCTATGCATAAAAAACACCTAAGTGCCAGAGTGGCCAGGATCAGGTAGCAGGACCCAGTGGCTGGACCATTTTTCAGACTGTTAACCTGTTCTCCCTCCCTCCTTCCCCTGTGGAGGGAATAGTGAGAACTGAGCACTGTGGGATTCTGGAGGACTTACAGGTTCCCCAGCCCCATGTATATGTAACAAGAAATACTTCAAAATAGTACTTCATTTCAAGTGACATTATTTTAGAGCACTTCAGCACTCATGGAACATTTCAAAAGCTTGAAGCATTTGAAACATTTCAAAGACATTTGAAGTGTTTCAATTCTTGCTTTCTTCCAGACCCTGAAAGTCTTTTAAATCGGTGGTTCTCAATCAGGGTGATGCAGCATCTCGAGGTGCAGTAAGAATCTGCCAGTGGTGCTTTGCTGCCATGGTCACCACTGCCATGGGCTGAAATTGCCCGACACACCTCTAGTTTAAGAAGCAGCTTCAGCAAAAGACATGGCATGCATTACGCAAGCAGGTGCACCCTTCCTACTGTAGCTCTTCCTAGTTTGGATCTGACATGCCCTTGAAAATGGAGGTACATGGGGCAGTTCTATCTGATGAAGCAGCATTTATCTCCAGGATGCTGCTGACAGCAGGCACATTGGAGCTGAACCAGGAAGAGCTGCAGCAGAAGCAGTGCATCTGCCCACATAATGTAATGCAGACAGGGGCAGCTTTCTCATGTAGCCACTTCTCATTTCAGCTCCACCGTGCCTCATCAAACGAGAGGCACACGGGGCAGACAGAACTGTTCTGCTCTTGCCAAAGCTGCTTCCTGACCTGGCTCTGTAGGAGGCACATGGTGCAGTAGGGTGAATATAATGTCTAATCAGTTACCAACATATTAATTAATAAAAATTACAATATTTATTTTATGATATTCAGTATATATATATTTTTTGTTTTGTTTTTTTAATGGGATGCTGATAAATTTTGAAAAGTTTTGGAGGGGTGCCTTGAGCCTAAAAAAGTTTAGAACCACAGTTTTAGATTCTCCTGGTTGTGAACACAAGATCTCCCATCTCTAGCTTTTCTGTTTTATACATCTGCTTGAATGCTCCTAGCCAACTCTGCCATGCCACACAGCAGCTGGTGGCCAATGAAGCTGCATAGAGAATAAAAGGCTAATCATATTTTGAACCCAAAATCAGAGCTTCTTCAGACACAAGACGTGCTGGAAACGTACCCTTGCTGTGCATAATCCAGGCTCAAGGCTCAACTGGCATGCTTTTGATCTGAGCCAGCTCCTGACATGTCTGTCCTGACTTCTTACAACCCCAGGCAATCCACAGGAGCCTCTGACTCTCCCTTGCCATCACCCTTCCCTTCTAGAAATGAGGGCGCTGTTGGGAGCGATGGCCCAGTGGAACCACACAGTGATAACGGAGCTCATGTTCTTGGCCTTCCCCAGCCACCCAGAGCTGCAGGCCTTGTTTTTCCTGGGCATCACCATCATCTATGCAGTCATAGTGACAGGGAACCTGCTCATCCTGGCAGCCATCCAGGGAGACTCCCGCCTGCACACCCCCATGTACTTTTTCCTGGGAGCCCTCTCTGTTGTTGAGCTCAGCTACACAGCAGCTGTTGTCCCACAAATGTTGGCAAGCTCCCTGCAGACCAGGAAGACCATTAGCTTTGGGGCATGTGGGGCACAGATGTTCTTCTTCATTGGTCTGGGAGGTGCTGACTGCTTCCTGCTGGCTGTCATGGCCTATGACCGTTATGTGGCCATCTGGCACCCATTGCACTACACCCTCATCATGACATGGCAGCTCTCCCTGTGCCTGGTGGTGGCCTCGCTGCTGGTCGGTTTCCTCCTTGCCCTGGATCTAGTGGTGCTGATCTTCAGCTTGCCCTTCTGTGGGGCCCATGGCATTCAGCACTTCTTCTGTGATGTGCCACCCCTGCTATGGCTCGTCTGTGCCAAGACTGAGACCCATGAAATAGCTGTCTTCCTGGCTGGAACAGCAGCCGTCTTGGTGCCCTTCGTGTTGATCTGTGCTTCCTACATTTTCATCGCACGTGCAGTGCTGCAGATTCGCTCAACCCGGGGCCGGCGCCGGGCCTTTTCCACCTGCTCCTCCCACTTGGTGGTGGTGGTGCTGCAGTATGGCTGCTGTGGCTTTGTGTACCTGCGCCCCAGCTCCAGCTTCTCTCCAGAGCAAGATCAACTGCTATCGCTAGTGTACACCCTGGGCACACCCATTCTAAACCCCATCATCTATACCCTGAGGAATGGAGAGGTGAAGGGAGCCCTGAGAAAAGCCCTCTGGAAACCTGTGTCCTTAGGGGTGTCTGAATCCCACTGATCAGTGGCGGGGTCTACCAGCCATCACCTTGCCCAGTGAATCCACCTTATTCTTCTCATGGCACAAGTCACTTCAGTCATGAGGGATGAAAGGCCCATTCAGTCCCAGGCCTCTCAGACATGATTGCATGTAAGGAAAGCTCAAAAGTGGGAGCTACAGAAATCCAGGTTTACATTCTCATGTACGTTCTGTACCAAGGATCTGTAGTCTTCAGAAGACCAGCAATGTTCTGACAACTTTCTCTGATACTCCATACAGGAATTTATTGCATTAGAGGGGACAATGAATAATAAAACCAGTCCTGTGCTTCCATGTCATTCAATCTTATATTCAGTGACGTTTACTTTGTATTGTTTTAACATTTTAATTCTTATTGTGTTTCCAAATTTTGTACTGAAAATGCTTCCAAAGTAGAGCTGTGGGAATAAGAGATTTTGGGAGGTTACTGGTAGTTGTGAAATGTTGGGAGGTTACTGGTAGTAGTTACTGGTAGTTGTGAACCTTCTTCTCCAGCAGAATAAGGTTAGGTTTTCTGAACATTTTTTTTAAAAGTTCACTTCATATCTGAAATGATGACTTTTTAAAAAAATTTTTAGGAATTCATCCAGTTCATGTGTGAAAAAATTCCTTTTAGGTCAAATGAAACATTTTTTTTTTCAACATGAAACAAAATATTTCATCTTGAGTTTTAACCCTTTTGTCCATTTTGTATTTTAAAATAAAACTGAAGGAGAACTGTAGAATGAAAAGTCATTTTGAATATGTGGAAATGAAACACATTAACTTTCCCATAATTTGTTTTCAGGTTTTGCTGTTGTTTTGGAACAAGCCATTTGCTTAAGCCAAAATAAATGTGCACTTTTACCTAAGGTTACCATAAATCCAGGTTTTCCTAGACATGGTCTTCTTTTGGGTCCTTCAGTTTCCATTCAGGTGGTTTTTTGAAATATGAACAAATGTCCAGGTGTTTGGTCTGCCAGTCCCTTTGAAACATCGATGCTGGTAGAACTACATTTCCTGGCTTGCCCTAGTGGTGTGCACATTTACCAGGCATCTGGGTTTTCCGTTTGCTGTGGGAAAAATGTGGATTTTCTTCTCTAAAGGAGGAAACTGTGGGCTTCCCCTTGCAGGCTGGCAGTCTTCCACCCTCATCTAGTTCCTATCCGCCCAACTTGCCAGCCTGTCTAGGTCCGCCTATATCTGTAGCCTATCTTCAAGCGTGATCATGCTTCCCCATAACTTGGTGTTACCATGAAGTTGGCCAATGAACTCTTCACCCTGACACCCAAATCATTGATGAAGATGTTAAAAAGCATTGGACCAAGCACTGACCCCTGAGAGCCAACACTGGCCATTTCTTGCCAAGATGAGCCAGATCCATTCATTAGGACTCTCTGGGTCCTACCCTGCAGCTAGTTTCCTACCCACCTGACTGCTGAGCAGTTAAGCCCACAGCCCTCTAATTTTCTCATGAGAACATTGTGGGATACCAGATCAAAAACTTTTTGGAAGTCCAACAAGGTTCTTTGGGTAAATCTGATATCTTTTATTAGACCAACCCAAATAGTTGGAAAATAATTATTAAGCAAGTTTTCGGGTTCAAAAACCCTTCGTCAGGCTAAGGAAGTTTCAGCAGTTGGTGTGTGCTCTTCCTGGATGGAATGAAAAGTAAAGCAGCCAGCGGCTGGGCTGGTACGCATACAAGACAGGTAGTCAGTGAGAATGTAGATTGAGGAGTCAATGGGTGAGAGAGAGGCTGGGGGGGAGAGATACCTGGAGAGAAGGGGGATAAAAGTGGAGATACCTGGGGAGTCAGATGTCAGGCAGATTATAATGTGTCATAAATCCAATGTCTATATTTAGTCCATGATTTTTAGTATCAGGGAGGTTGATGAAGTGGAGTTCATAGGCTCGTCTCTGGGAAGTGTT